TACAAGAGTACCAGTTAGTGCTGCTGGTAAAATAAAATAAAAAAATCACCTCTGTCAAGAGAGTGGCTTTTTTGACACCTTTTAAATGTCTTGGTCCTAATTGTATGAGTAAGTGCCATACATATAAAATGTAATATCAAGTACAATAATAATTTTTTCACCCTCCAGTAGGTATTTCACGATTTAAATCAAAACGTACAATTACACTGTAGTTCGATTGTCTAGAAATAATATTTCTGGCCTTATAAGAGTTTATTTGACTGTTATAGACATAAGATTATGAGATGAGGGAATGAGGGGATTAGAGTTCTGAAGGTATTTGCTCAATCATTACATGTGGAGAATATCTGTACTTGGGAGAAATGTCTGTGTTTCTCAATATGTTGTTCAATGCTTTATCAAGCTGGGCTTTAAGACAGACAGTCAATAGGACAAGCAGCTTTATTTTAGCAGGCATAGTAACTTCACAGCTCGTAAAAAGCCCATTACTAGCGTTCCATGCAACCCTCGGTGCTCAGTTACAAGCATTCAACTGAGAAAAGCTGGTGAGACTGATTCAGACTAAGAGACACCCTGTGTGGCGGAGCAGCAAGATCATCACAACAACCCACACCTTGAGTACCCAGACACAGAGAGAAACTCTGGTGTCAGCAAATGTCTCCCGCCTACACACAAAGACCCCACAAGAAAATGCCCCCGAGAAAGTGTCTGACTTGTACCCTGAAGATTTCACATAATGAAAAGTTAGGAGCCCGGTTCAATTTTGCTTAAATATGTCTTAGGGATCCGAGAGCTAGCAGATCTAATATGGAAGTCACTGTCGGGATTTGACAGAGTTATAGTGTAATGCTGAGGGCTAAACATAGGGAACTCAAAAGCCGGGGCCATGGATGTGTGCTCTGCTGCCCAAAACCACTAAAACCCACTCTCCTATTTTTATATTGGAAAGTCTATTGATGGAGTTAGATCAGAGGAAGTGAGCTCAAACCTTACCGCCTCAGAGCTGCTTATGACTGAATTATCAAATAAAGTATAAGAGTAGAGTATGCCAAATCATGCGAAGACAAATATTTAAACGCACATTATAATAGAATAGGAGTTTTGCTTTAGTGACTGTAAAGAAGACGAAATATGTTTTACCTATTAAACATATTATTAAACATCTTGATATATTTTATATCTTATCATAGTTTTCACATGCACGAGACAGAGTAAGGAAGCCGTGAAATGACTGTCGGACTGAAACACAGCAGGATTTCTCACCATTTAAATTAAAAAAATAAAGGGGTTGTAATTTTCTGTAAGTTGGCATCTCACTCGCGTCAGCGGATTAAGAAATTAATGAAAAGTGGCTAGTCAATCTGACACTTCTAAATTAAGAAGAGAGTATCCAAATGACAAAATTAAAAGGGGGAGAATGAAGTAGAGGATAAATAATTGGCTGGGGAAATTCTGACAGAAAGAGAAGTGGAAAACATGGCAGCTGAGGAAAAGAGAGTGGAAACAGAGTAAGCAGCGGATGCTCCAGGCAATGCCATCTGTGGGTGGATCTGCAAAGGCTGCATGCCACACACCTGTGTGGAACTGCCTGGGAGATAAGGCCCTCAGCACAATGGCCCTGTGGCCACCTGTGCTGCCAAACAGGTGCACAGCCTAGCCAATTAAACTATTAGACAAACACAGGCCTCTGGGAGCAAATTAGCAGGCTGCCCAAACATCACAGGAAAAACAAAAAGCAATGGTAAGCACTCACTGTGAAGAAGAACAACAACACTTTGATGGTGAGACTTTCATTGCAGTGTATATTAAGTTTTAAGGTTTAAATGAAACAAAGTACTGGTTTTGATTCAAATCATCACATCATTTTTTAAACACAGACCACAAAATTAGTTATTTGATATAAGCAGTGTGAATGGATATAACATTGGCTTACCACGTAAAAAGAATTAGGGCTAAATTTTGCACCAATACATGATACACACATGATGTTGGACTGCATGCAAGACACTTAGTTATGCATAAATTGTTAGTCCTGTAAGCTATCGGGTACCATTTGTATGATCATCTGACCTATTTGTGACAAAGCAGTGCTACAACTGGTTGTATCAAAATGATCAATCTAATTTAAATCATTGACTGAATAATAAACATATGACAAAGTAATTTAATTATGGACATTTTATTTCCCTAGGTGTTTCAAGGATAACAGGATATATGCTCTGTCATAACATATGTCTTAATATTTGTAACTCAAAGATTGGATTCATTTTCTAGGTCAAGGATACTGATTAATTTATATTTTATTTTACTTCTAAGCCAAATACAGTTAAGGACCAGATATGCATTCCTCTGAAAGCCAACACTAAAATGTTTGATAAATACAGATTCCCAACATTAAAATCCTGCTCTTTTTTTCACCAAATCGTTTGAACGCAGGCAAGACAATGTTAGACAAAGTCTGTCTAGCCCTTTCCGCTGTGAGAAAACTAGAAAGTAATCAGCTCTCGGCTATACAATGGCATTTCTGCTGGAATGGGGGTTTGTCTCTGTAATGACAAATACTGTTCAATGCTATACACTACGAGGTACAACTAGGAAAATGAAATAAATGGAAGCATATTATTCACAAATTACCAGCATCTCTCTATACAGTATGTATACAGGCTTTTATTTAGCCAGCTTTGACCAAGAATTTCTTCAAGTAAAATCAATTATGAAGTCCAACATATTACAAGAAGTTGAGCTGATCATTATTCTAAGGTGTAAATCAAAACAAGCCTGAGTGCACTGCTCTTCCCAGTACTTCATGGTTATTTTCAGTATATGATAACATACCATACAAAGGTTACATTAACATAGCGCAGTCAGAAGAGCAGCAAACCGAAATGTGGATTTCCTGTGTGTTGTGATCCATGACAATTAAGTGCATTCATATTAATTAGGAGTAACCTTATCCACGCTTCAAGAAAACAATCAGTCCCTTTACCCGGGAGAGAAATAGTGAGAGGCGTAAAGATGAGCAGGGTACGGGTGTTAGTCAACACTCGCACTGGCCTCTTTAGCACACACACCCAAAAGGTGGCTTTCTCCCTTGATGGACATGGCCATCAGTGGGAGATGACTCCTCCATGAAGCACTGGTCCCTTACATGCCGGTCAAAGGTTCAGCCATTTGAAAACACCCACAGGGTAAGCCTGGCCTCACTTACATCCCCTCGGCACCAGTTGGCCTTTCTGAGTGGGTAGGCTAACTCGACTCCCCACAGCTTCCCAGAGACTGTGAGACTTCACAGCTCTGCAGTTCTCGAGGGACAATTACTTAGGTAATCAGCTATTCAGTTTCTTTCAAAATTCTAGCCCTCGGACAAATGTAGTGGAAGACCCTTGCTATATATAATACTTTGTATACAATGTCCCTTTGTGTTAAGCCAATATAAATCTGTCTATGGTTCCTTATGTACCACTAACTTAAGTTACATTGATAGCCAACTAAATATCTTTGTACACCTGTCATTAATATAAACCAACATGTCATGTGGATACCCTTGGTTGGACCCCTTCCTCCCCATGCAACTATTTGTCTTTTTTTTTTTTTTTACGTTGGTTAAAGCATGGATGTAATGGTGATGATGGTAGTAGCACACAGATTAAATAAAAGCACCTTCTTGGGCCATGCAGTCTTTTCTCTGTGTCCAGGGTGAACATAAAAAAGTATTCCACTTATCCGATGGCCATTTAATATGCACCATTCATTGATTCACATTAAGAAACATCTCCTCAACAGCGGGCTGGTAAATAATTTAAAGGATCCGCTGTCACTTAGGGTTCCGTTGTACTAGGGGGACCAAATTAAAATTGAAGATCCCATTTATAGGAGGGAAGGTAGAGAATTTGGGTAACACGTTGGGACAGGGCCTAAAAAAAAATCAGTGAGGCCTCCTAATGAATGGTTTAAGAACCAATCAAGGTTCAATGGGACAGAGCTGAGAACCACAGAAAAATAAAATAATGAATGATTACAATTACATAGGTTCATAACAGATTAAAGAAAAGAAGTACAGCCACTGGACATTTTTGCTTTGGAAGCTTGCTTATTGTTGCTTATATAGCTTGCTTTTATATTGCATGCTTCTAAAAGTCTCAGAATTGCTGGTTTTCTGATGTGTAAAACTAGACTTCCTATCTATTAGAGTCTAATGGACAGCGTGATCTGGAATGACTCCCAGTGACTGTGCTCGTTTGGCCAGCTACACCGCTCTCTCTGCTTGTTTAGGTTGATGCTGTGGGTCTTTCTTTTCTAACGTAGCTGATCATTCCACATGGAACACGTTCAATGAGGTTCCTTTACAAATGACTGTAATGTTTTGATTGAAACTGTTTCAGAGAGGTGTTGATTCAACTTTTTGATTGAAGTGAGGATGAGGATGTAGCAGTTTCGACCAGAAACACAGCTAAGTGATTCTTCAGTGCAGTCACGATAGTTTATGTTCACATTACAAATACATTCCTGTTTTTTTCAGTATGTGTTTTTGCAAAGTGTAATCAGGACAGAAAAAAACATTCTTATAAAACATATGGTTTTAATATTAGAGTCAGTGATCAGTAGCGCGATTATGTTTCAGTATTTCCAGCTGTGCAAATCTGTTGTGTGCTAATAGTTGGTTCAACAGGATATTTTTGTACAGCAATGTCCAGAGGAGAACTTGAGGATAACCAACCAAACACAGCGATAATGATGTTTATCCTTATCTGTGTGACTGTAAAATCTAAAACTGTAGAGACAGTTGATCCTTCACAGCAAGCTTGGCATCATAACACTTAGTATCTGTTTTCACAGCAAAACGAGACAAATTTAAACTAAGTCCTCATTTGATTTTGACAAACCTATCATCATGCCAACTCAAATAAGTGCTTTGAGCTGTGGTATTTGTATAATTCAAAAAAATTCACAGGTACAAGGCACTGTTTGCAGCGTTTGAAAAGAAACCTTGAGTTACTAACCTGACAGGGTTGCTAGTGAGAGACACTCTGAGGGACTCCAGGCAATTAAGCAGCTTGTCTTCTGTGATGCCAGAACGCAGCTCATGGACATATTCTTGGGATGAAAGTGTACACTCATGCTTGCTGTTTCTTAGTCCACCCTGAAAACAAAACATCAACAGGACAGTTAGATTAACAATATGACTTTAACACCCATAGCGATGTGATGAAAACAGCAATCAATAACTTTGTGAGCAGTGTTGAAAGACAACCATGTATTATTTGCCTTAACATCATCTTCCTAAATACATACAGTGCTGTAGAAAGGTTAATGAACCATTACAGGCCAATAAAACTCTGAGGAAACCTTTCCTGTCAGAGGATTTCATATTGCTGAGTGAGTACATTGTGTTCGCAGTAGGTGTAGTTGTTCAAAATTGGATTCTCTCAAAAGATGCCAGTGACAAAAGCTGATAAAAACTTAGAAAAGGGGATGAGTCAGTGTCTAGGGATGTGTTAGCCAATTTCTTTTTCTCAATCAGCGAGCACTCTAATGATGGACTGTACTCACAGAGAGCCAAACACAGGCTCTACATGCTATCGGCAGCAGCTCCTGCTTGAAGTAAATGGATTCTTGTGTATAATCTCCACAGAGGGCTCTAGGGACATGTTGCTACACTGATGCTTACACAATGAGACTACCTATTGGCAGAAATACATACACATCACAGCAGGGAAACACGCATTTACACACTCACTCTCCCAGCACACGTGAAGTCAACATTAGGCATTAGATTGAGCTACAGCTTGATTCCAAAGTTATGGACTGATCTAAATTGAACAACAAAAGCACAAGTTGATACATTTGGCTCAACTTTGTCACCAGGACTCCATAACTTAAGATTAGTTTGAAAGCAAAATGGTTTTATTTACAAAAGATGCCATAATTTAACCAAACCTATAGGTTCTGGAGACCTAGCCAAACAGAACAAAAGGATGGGGGAAGTCTGGGTCAGCCACACAGAGGGCCATAAACTAAAAACGTAATTTTATTTTGCTAATTTATTGGTCTGCCTCCAGCAAATGTGGGGCTCAGTGACAGATATTCAGAGGCGCGGTACACACACTGAGCCGAAGAACGAGTGACAGGAAAAGCAGCTGTAGATGAGTATTTTCACATCTAACTGCGGTGAATTCAGGGTTTATTTTGACTAGTCTGACGACGGAATACTGTTACAAGGTGATTCACAGAGGCTACAAACAAAACTCCAACTCTGGGGACGATGAGGACACCGCAGGGACAGCCCGGGAGAGGCTGGGAGAGGACAGGCATGAAGTGGGTAGGTCAGGGATCAGAGAGGCAGCGACAGCGCGTAGAGCCAGAATATTTTCACATCTAACGCTGCTAGACAGGTACAGTTTAAGTGTGAACGTATCGGTAATCGCCGATTGTTGGACTGACGGTGGCCGGTTTGGAACATTTTTAAATATCGCCCAACCCTACTGAAATAAAAAACTGAAAAAAATAAACTGAACTAACAAACCATGAAAATACTGGACTATTGACAGTCCTTTAAAAATTAACACAAAATATAGCAAAAGAAAAAAAGGCAGGTCAGAAAGGCAGCTTTATCTGAGAGCTGCTGGGTGGAGGAGGGGCTTTAAAACCCTGCAGAGCAGGTGTCACAAATGAGCAATTAGGACTTGTAGGCCACGGCTGCACCCCCAGTTCACCTGCAAACCAATCCAACAGACAGGCACAAAAAAAACATGTCCTGGGACATAACACCCACAAAGTGAGCTATGCTGATAGGCAGTTTGTGAAGTAATAAGCTAGCTCATTCATCTGGAGAAAATAGAGTCCTGCTGCTCTCCTACAATGCACTGTCAACATGGAAGGACCTTTTTTTGTTAGAAAAAACAGAGGCAGTCTTAAAATAGCACTCTACCAATATTTCTGTGTGAACTGAGGTCATAGTTTCTATTGGCCCAATAATGACAAGAAGTATTTATTTGATAAGGGCCGGCGCAAAATTTGGTTCCACAACCGGCAGAGGGAACTGGTACCTCTCCCACAACTAGCACCAAAATTGTGTGAAATTATTCAAAGTGGTAAGCAGACACAGCCTTTATGTTATTGTCTTTATTAGTAGGACATTTTGTAAGCAACACCAAAAAGCACTAATGCCATTCCACAAGTAAGATTTGATTTCACCATTCATTTTGTTACAGTATACATAAATGAACCATTATTTTTGCAGTTGTTCCAAAAAAGTAAAATCTCAAAGCAAGTCAAACCTGAAAGTGTATTTTCACATAATTGTCTAGTTTCCAAACTATAGTTTGATTTTTAATAAATCCATTTTCTGTGCTTCAGTCCTTTGTCTGTGTTTCTCACCTTGATCTATAGGAACACTTATGCCATTCATCTTTTTCTCAAGCACTGTTTGGTGAATGTGGAGGAGTGACTGGCTTAGCTTTTATCTGACTGAAGGTAGTTATTAGGCCACGGGGAGAGGTAAGAATCCTTCTCATTACTATCTAGAGTTTTCAACTATTACCTACCGTAAGAGTCTTTGTTGCACATTTCATTTTTATATGTTTTTTGCTACTGACTATAAACAGCTAGACAAAAAAAAACAAAAAAAGAAAATGATGAAACCAAATATACAGTATGTGAAAACTCAATCAGACAGAGAAGGAGGTAAAGACAGATACTCCTGACACTTATCAAAACCCCAAGGTGAAATGTTGGGACTTTGACAGCGATGCAGAATTGTCTTTATAGTAGTATAGGTGTAACTATGACAATTACATTTTTCTGCTTGTTTAAGTGCTTAAAAATTCGATGAGCTTTTAATCCCTGAGTGGCACTGCTTATTTTTTTAAAACAGACACTTGAATCAGTGCTCCGAGAAAAGTTGATGTCATTCATGTTTGACTCACTTTTTAAAAATGTACTCAGGAATTTTATCATAAATAGTGAGTGAACAATGACTGAACATGTGTGTGTGTGTGTGTTTCCCTGCATCTGCCAGAACACTGCTTCTTTCTTTAGACTCTGAATTCTGAAGCCACAATCTACTTTATTAACTTTAATATGTTCAGAGCTCGAGTAATTAGCCTTTTTAATCACAGAATAATAATCATCCATTGTCTCACTAAAAAGGGTTCACAGATAGAGTAGCAACCAAGGTCTGCCTCCAAGGGTTACTCGTGAAGATGTCTATAAAAAGATGTATGAAAACATTCTGAATTAATGTCATGATATGATAATCAGCCAATCCAGGCATGATGAAATTATTAGCTAGGTCTATTTTAAGGGTGCCTTTTTAACAACTGGCCAGCTACAACAGATGAAAATTTGGCTCGTGCTTAAATTAATTCAGGTTATTTATAACACATTACCTGTCGAATAAACGAATATGGTACATGAAAAATATGCTAACCAAGTAAGTATACGGTTCTCACCCATAAATGAATTTTGTCATAACAATACGTAGAAAATTATTCCCATTTCCAAGACTCGTCGGTGTCATTTAAGGAGCCTTAATATGTAAAATAATATGTCAACAATATGGCATGCAATAAACACATACTAGACATACTGTGTCTAGACCAGTGATTGGTTCCCAAACACGAGGCTGGGACCAGCACTGGGTCGGCTAATAAACACTAACACTTAAAAGTTTCTTTAAAGGAAAAAGTTGTGATTTTTGAGGCCTAGCAAGTGTTATTATGTCCAAATGTTAGAGATACTTAGAGCCTAACCTTTATTTGGGTTGTGATATGCATTGGGAACTCTGTACTTGTATCAGAACTGTATCTGGACCATTAGGAAGCTGCACAGATGTCCCTTTCTGCACACTGCATAAAAGTGCCCATTAATTTAAAACACTGTCAATAGAATGGGCTAATAGATCCTTAAGGGGGATCCTTCTCTATTGAGAAAGAGGCTGAAACTACAGTTTTCATTATCCAGTAGGGCCAATACTCCCTAGACAGGGACCCACCAAAGGCCTGGGACCAGAACCATTTAAACAGCTGAATGGAACAGTGCATCACATGTGTCCGATCCAATCATGCCAGGAATACAGGAACAACCTACAGTGCGTGTTCTTGTCAACCAAAAGTTTGGAGGAAAGATTAACAACAATTGGTATTTATATTCTCAGGCTGAGCATTGTTGGGGGACAGTGTAATATGCTGCTTGTCCACTGAAAATATCATTCTTGATTGTTGCACTCACCACAGCAGTCAAATCACCAACTCTTTTTGCTGTAGAGAAGGCGAGGGTTTTCAAAACACACTGCTGTCTGCAGTGGATTGGTTTAGATGAATAACAAATGCTAAAACAACCAAGTAGGGTAGACAGTGGAGAGGTAATATGTCAGCGCTGTGCTGAATAAAGCCTGAAAGGTAATGGCAGGCAAGATGTATTAAAGTCAGAGTGGTGGGTTTCATGCAAGTCTGAAGACCAATATCCTGCCATTTGGCCGAGGCTTGACTTTTGGGGGTGTCGGCGCTTAATGAAATGTACTCCACGGTATTGTCAAGAACAGTTTAAGTTCAAAATGAGCTCAAACTTAGACACCATTAATAAAATGTTAACATTCAGTAAAATATACAGTAACTATGTGCAGTTTCAGGAAAGAAATCAGATCTAAATAACAAATATTGACCCAAAAAAGCAAGAGAATATACTGCATGAGAACAATTCCAAATGTAAATATGCTTCTTACATCACTGTGATTCAATTCTTGGATAATGGCTGACTAGGCGATTACATTTTCAGAACATTACTTCCTCAATAGTACATACGACAGTGAGAGGGAAACACATCATCCACTTTTTATTTATCTTCTTACCTCTCAGTAGTTCCCAGCAGGCATACCACTATGCCCAGAAAAGCTTGAGCTCTGGTTTCACCGCATGCTCTGACCTCTAGAAACCAAAGACACTGACCATAAACTGCTTTTTCATGACCCTAGCCCAAATCAATTGAATCCTTTGGGATAATATCAACATTACACCACCACACTGGCAGCAGAGAAACAATCTGAGGATTAGAAGGAGGGGGGCATTACCTGCTGGCTACTGGGTAATAGAGTTTTCCCCTTCAGGCTCACAAAAATGGTCAACAGAAGAAAATGGTCAAAAA